ACGTTCTCTGTGGATGTCCAATGTGAAAGTTGCCAGCACCAGAAAGGGTCCACTTATTTCAAACCCTAAGAAAATGGAGTGGAGGCCACGAAGGGGGAGCTCTCATGGGAATACTTGTAGGAGGCACTATTATAAGACATTCCTGCAATACCACATTGCCCTTAACAGGAAGTGTGGCAAGGAAATTCCTCAAGACTGCAGTATTCCAGATAACCAGCTTGCCCTGGGTGAGGGTGGGAGGTACACCTGCCCAGTAACAACTGTCTTCGCCAGTGAGCTAACGCCAACTCCTGCAACAAGCCCCTATAAACCAGTGTTTTTTGTTACAAAACAGCTTATGTGAATCTCTTTGTCTTAAAAACCTTCCCTTGGCCCCATCGCTTGGATATGCCTGTGATCTGTCACAGGTTGGAGTCTCCTGCTTTCCCAAGTGAGCTCATTTATTTGTCCTGGAGAGCACGTCTCTGAGTTTTGTTTTTTTTTTGCTTTTGAGACACGGTCTCTGCTGTCACCCTGGCTGCAGTGGCATGATCACAGCTCACTGCAGCCTCCAACTGCCGGGCTGGAGTGATCCTCCTGCCTCTGTTAGGGAAATTTCCATGCCAGTTTTGCTTAAAACCACAAAGTAGATGCTGACACCTGTCAGCCTTGCAAGCTAAAACTGCAGAACGGTTGAGCAAAACTACAAGCCTGTTATGATTATACTATTTGTTACAAGCCTATCATAATTATACCACTTGTAAGAATTATTGTTTATCGGATAACTTTTAAATCTTTTTGCTAATTGGTTAATCATTTATACTTGCGTGTGATTTGTTAAAAGTAACCCCCCAAAAGAGTATAAAACCTGACAAAAACCCGGAAGAGGTGCTCAGAATTTGGAGACTTGTCTCCTCTGGGCCCGCTGGCGTTAAGAGATTAAACATTGACTCTCCAACTGTCTCGGTTATTCCCCTGGGACTGGTCACTGTAACACTTGCCATAACATCTCAGCCTCCTGAGTAGCCGGGACCACAGGGGCGCACCATCACGCCCGGCTAATTTTTCTATATTTTGTAGAGATGGGGTCTCGCTATTTCCTAGGCTGGTCTCAAACGCCTGGACTCAAGCGATCCTCCCGCCTCGGCCTCCCAGAGTGCTAGGATTACAGGCGTGAGACCGCGCCCGGCCTCTGAGTTTCTTTCGAGGTTGACACACTGGGGAGGTAACAGGACCATCTGAGGGGTGGGGCGGGAAATCCACGGAAATATCTAAAAATAAGAAATAAAAATTAGCCGTCTATTGTTCAGAAACACGGAGGCGTCTATCGGAGGAAACTGCCAGAAGGAGCAATTGCCTCTGCGGCTGGAAGCGGGGCGCGGAGAGCGGGCCGCGGCTGCTGCTCGTCCCCGTGCCGCCAGCGCTGCGTGACTCAGAACCACGGCTCTGCCCCAGGAATCGAGTCGCGAGTCGACTGCGACGAGGCCCGGGCTCTGCGTCCCAGGAAGCCCCGAAAGCTCCCCGGAGCCTGACGTCGCTGGCGGATCCACCGTCTCCACGGCAACGGGATGCGCCCTCGGACACGCAAGCGCCCCGAAACCAGCTGAGCCACGTCGGGCAGCGTGCGGGCGCCCGCCCGTAACGCACTTCCGGCTACGGTCCCGCCCCGTCGCGGGGCGTGGCAGCGGCGCCCGAGCCGGCCGGGCCTGGGCTCCTTCCCGGCAGCTGGCGCGGTGCGAGCCGGCCTCCCGGCTGACGGTGCGTGCGGGCGCGGAGCCTGCTCCCGGGCCCTCCCTGCTTTCCCCGAAACGTGCTCCCCTTCTGAGCGCGGCGCGCCCCCAGTCCCTGCGCCACGCGCGGCCCCTCCCCGCGGGGCCTCCCGGAAGCTCGCTCTGCGCGTCCCCGCGGCTGCGGACCACAACTCCCGGCAGGCTCTGCGCGGCGCGGGCGCGCGCTCCGGGACAGCCGACGGACGGACCGGCCGCGGGCCTCGGCTCTCCTCGGGCCCCGCCCCCGGGCCGAGCGAGCGGGACGGAAACTTGCCGGCACGTGGAGGGTCGACGGGGCCCGCGGCCTCCCGCAGCCGGGCGCCCAGTGAGCGGGGCGGGCGCAGCGCAGGCTCGGGCGCCCCGACCCTCGCCCAGGGGCCGGCCGCTCGTGCCCGCGCGCACCCCGGAGCCTCGCCGGGGGCTGCGGCCCTGACGTGTGCGATCGCGGCCGCGGGGTGCGGGCGCGCGGGCCCGGGGCTAACCGTGCGTCCCGGCGTCTCCCCGCCGCCACGGCCGCAGCGCTCAGGGCTTGTGCCACGAAGCACAGCGCGGCCGCGGCGGGTCCCGGAGGGCCTCGGGCGGGCGGGCGGGTGACCGGACGGCCGGACAGGTGAGCTCTGACCGGTTTGCTGCCTGCTGCTTTGCATCTAGTGCCTCACCCTGTGGGTTCGTTCTGAGGCGGGGTCAGAGGGCTTGCGTTTGGTCGGAGCCTGCATGCGCGTGGGCAGGAGGAGTGATAGATAAATAAAACTGCCTCATCTCTCTGAGTTCAGAGCCAATCTAGGAAAAGCAAAGGTGCCAGACAGGCTCCTGATGTGCACGCGGACCTGGGGACAGGACGGCCCCAGCGCGGGGACCCTGGGAAGCCTGGCCCTTCCTGGGAGGTCCCTTCTCCCCCCGTTCCACCCAGGCCTGTTGCTCCCGATGCGACAAGTATATGAATGTCTTGTCGCTCTCCGGCTCAAGGTCAGCTCAGGGCAGTGAGTTGGCGGGTGACACCGCAGTCTGCTGGATGCCTGAGGGCCTCTGCCCGGATGGCCAAGATTTGAGGTGATGACAGTCTTGTTCCTCGTGGGGGCTTTCCCCCCAGCAGGCGTCTCTGTGTCTGGCAAGTTGGGTGTCCTGGCCTCTGTCTCAGGGCTGCATCTCACTGCCCAGTGGACCTGACCTCCCTGGGCACCCAGGAGGTCCACTTGCATCTTAGCCGGAGCTGCTGCATAGAAGGGGCCTGTGATTCACCCGTTTTTGCCAGTTGATTGTGCCACACACAGTGTCACTTCCGCAGTGTCACTAGGCACAGCCAGAAGTGCAAGGAGAAGGGAGCCTGTGTCCTGTGCCACCTCAGTCTTCTGTAACCTTATTCTTCTGAATAAAGGCCATTTACTAACTTCTTAGCTAAATATGATTTGCTTTCTGTGGCTTCTTAAAGCTTTTCCAATAAAGTACCCATAATAGGGGAATACCTTATTCCTACACTGTCTCGATTTATGGTTTGAAAATATTTCTGCCCCCTAAGAGCTCGCATTTTTTTGTGAAAAGAGAAGCTAGTCAGCAAGAGAACAGATCCAGCTGCTACTGGTGTGGTTAGGATGGTCAACGCTAATGTGTAAAATTGCCTTTTAAAACCATCTTTCCCCAGACTGGCTCACGGGCTGCCCGTTCTGTCTGCTGTGCTCTGTGTCGGCAATGGCTTCCAGTGTCCAGTAGCAAAGTCTGGCGACCGAGTGAATTTGTGACCCAGGAATAGCAACTAATCCCTAGATGCCAACTCCAGGCTGGCGTGTGCTCTGAGGTAAGTTCTGATTCCGCTGAAGCACATTTGTTGCCCGAGTCTTCATGCTCTGACTGCCTCAGCGTCGTTTTAAACGTGGCTAGCAATAGCCTCTGAGGGGGTTCCGTTGCCAGCCAGCGGCACGGCCTGTAAGCTCTGGGGCAGACGGCAGAGTCCAGCCTCTCTGGTAAGGAAGTAAAGGTAGGTAACTCTGGGTGGATTTCCCACTGAGACGGTGGCGTGCGTGAGCGAGCAGGCGTTCCGAGGCAGTGTGCAGCATCTGAGTGTGAAGCCTTGGCTGTGTATTTATCAGAGGGACAGCAGGGAACAGATTGGCACCCGTTTCTGTGGATTTGAAAGTAGGGCCACATGCACAGCTGGGGCTGTGGTGGCTGCAGCTCTCCCTGGAGCCTTCCATGGTGCTGGGTCCCGGCTCCTGCGTGGCTGTAGGCTGTCTCTGGCTTCAGTGTTTCTGGGACACTTGGGTCTGGGCTGGCCATGACATCTGCACTTTCCACTGCAGCCTCCGGCCTAGAGCTAGCCTGCTGCGGGCAGGTGGGGAGCCCATTCTGCAGGGCGCTCGGGGCTCACAGGTACCTTCCTCTGTGCCTGGAGCCTTGTAGGGTGAGGACAGGAAGGTAGGAGCTCGGAGGCTCCTGATCTGCAGGAAGGGATGGCGCAGGGCAGTCGTCAGGAGGCTTGGCAGGTCCTGGGAGGAGGCAGTGGTGAGAGCCCGTGGGGCAGCATCTGTCCCTGGGAGTCTGGTTGGTCCAGGACAGCCCCCCGCTCGGGTATTCCTCGCTTCACTGCCTCTGGGCCTGTACGCACCTGAGGTCTGCAGTGTGGCCAGCTCGGGCGCACAGTGCAGTCCAGGCATCCAGGCCACTCCTGGACTTGCTCAGAGGATGGGGCACAGCAGGCCCCCTGGCCTGCCATCCTCAGGCGTGCAGGCACTGCCCTCGGGGCCAGTTTTACATACACCCCACCCTGGGTGTGGAAGTGCCTGTCTCGTGGCCTGAGGAGGGCCTGATGGTCAGGGAAGCCCAGGGATGAACTCTCCTGCCTGCAAGCTTCCTTCTGGGATGGCCAGGCTGCCTGTGAGACCCCACAGCCCCTAAGCCTCTTGTGAACAGTGGGACGGGACAGGCCCAGTCTGATCCTCAGGCCCCCTGAGTAGTCACACTCTGTCCCTGTCTCCCTGTGAGGGAGACCTCCCAGATGGAGGGGACGAGTGCTGGGTCCGGCTGGGGGTGCCCGGCTGCCCAGGTCTCATGGCTGCCTCCCGGCTCCACTCCGCCCTCCACACCCCTGGAGGTCTAAGGTAGCGTGCCAGGAGCCTGAGGGCAGGTGCTGTGTCCTGGGGGGACAGTGACAAAGACCAGGCAGGAAGGGCAGAGGGAGCTGAGTGGAGGGAGGTGGCAGAGGGAGTGGTGGAGCAGACAGACCCCGCGACCTCCGGGGAGGGGTCCTGGAGGGGAGGCAACGGGGAGGCTCCTGGGCTGGGCACCGCCAGGCTGCACCTCTGCACCGTGGGGAGAACCGTGGAGTCGGCGGGTGCACCCAGCTCCCCGCCTGGGCTCCTCTGGGCGCTTTCCTCTTGTCGGGGCAGCCTGGGCAGCACGAGAGGTGAGTTGGGGGAGGAAGCCCTCCCTGCAGCCTGCCCGGCTGGGGCTCGAGAACTGTCTGGCTCTGCTAAAAATGCCAGGCGTGCTGCACACGCGTGTTGGTCAGCGGGGCAGGCTCCTCCGTCACAGGCTGACCACCTGCCACCCTGTGGAGTGGTTGCCAGCTAAGGCTTGGTTCCGATTTCCCAAAGACTCTGCTGGGCACCCTCCACCCTGGCGTCTGCAGTCTCTGCCCTCCTCCCGAGGGCAGGGCTGGGCACAGGCTCTCGTGCTTGGTGCCCCAACCATGTTTGTCGGAAAAGGTCCAGCAGTATGTGGCCAGTGGGCCATAGGCCACCAGGTTGGGCAGGTGTGGTGGCTGGCCTCGGCAGAGCCGGCTCCGGCTGGGAGGCTGGGCTCAGGGATGGGGGGATGCCACCCTGGCTGCAGAATGACCATGGCGCCAGCTCATGGTACCTGGGTATTTTCCTGCCCAAAGTCCTTCATCTCAGTGCTGGGCCACTTTCAGGGCTTGGCAGATGGGTTGTCCGCTAACAGGAGAGACCTCCAGTTGGGGCTGTCTGCTCATGCTCGTTTGGGTCTGTGGCTGCCTGTAACAAGCTCTGCTCTTGCTAAGCAGGAGTGTCTGGCGGGGAAGAGGCCCCAGCTCAGCATGTTCTCCCGGTTGTGACCAATTCTGGTGGGCCCTTGGCAGGAAGAAGGTGTGTGTGGATCTGGCAGAAGTTGGCAGCCTGGCAGGGGTGGGGTCTGCGCCCCTAAGGAGCAGTGCCACCACTCTGCAAGGAGGCCACTGTGTTAGCCTCCCCCACCTCTGCCATCTCTGCAGGGAGAGTCCCTGTGCAGAGGAGGCTGGGAGTGGGGAGGCTCAGCCCCGGCTGTGCCTGCACCTTCGGAGGAGCTCCCCGGGCAGAAGCTGCAGCCACTGCAGGGGTGCAGGGAGTGGGCGGTCTGCACAGCCTGCCCCCCAGTGGTGGCTCAGCAGGACATCAAGCTGCTCACCCAGCCCAGGGAAGGAGGGGTGACTCCTTCCCAGACAGTCCCAGTGGGCACAGCAGGGTCTCGGGGGAGAGTCAAGGGCCATGACCAGGGAGGGGCCGTGGGGCTGGGCGGCCAGAGGAACAGTGTCCACGCAGACGCGCCAGATGCAGCTGCGTGTGCTCAGGATGCAGTGCCGGTGCCTGGCCTTGGGGAGCACGCCGTGGATGTTTGGACGGGTGGGAGTGGCCTGGGCCAGGCCCTTGGGACAGGGGTCTGCCGGCTGTCACGGGAGCTGAGTACAAGTTCTGTCCGCTTCTTGTTTCATTCGCTCTCAGCCAAAGTCGAAGCTGGCGGAGGCTGGACTTGGGATGAGGCAGTGAACAGAGCTGGGGGTGCCCTTGGAGGCCCTGACCTCCTGGGCTCACTGCTCTGTCAAGGACAATTGTGTGCGGGGCGTGGGGAGGGTGCGTGGGTCACTCCTGGCTCTGTGTGGCCCAGAGGGCAGGGAGGGGCTGCTCTGGCAGCCACCTGTGGCAGCTGGTGATGTGGAGGGAGGACTCCCAGACGGCCAGGCCTGGGGGCTGCGGAAGGACTGCGGGGAATGCAGGGCGGGCTGTCATCCCTGGCCACCTGGTGCCACTCGCGGGGCCCCTCCCCTTGTCTGGGGCTCGCCGGCACCAAAGAGTCTTGGGCAATACTGGGCAGTTTACCGCTGTCCTTGCTGGGCCTCCTGCGCTCTGTGGAGGAGGACAAAGCCCTGTGCTGGAGCCCGCCCTGGCCTCAGGCGTTGGTGCCCCGTCTTCGCTGGGTCTCCACTGGCCACAGGTGGGGGCAGTGTGGCCTGGCCGTGTGGTACAGGCTCCTGAACAGCCACCGGGCAGGGAAGTCTTGTGCTCTTAGAACGTCCTGTTTCTGTGCAAGCCCTGGTGCTCCCAGGGCTGTGGTCAGCCCTGGTGGCCAGGCCCGCGAGAGGTTGGTGCCCCTGAGCATCTGAGGGAGTCGAAGGTTCAGACACTCGGTGCGGATCAGGAGCGCGGCCCTGCAGGCAGAGCCCCCGTGCTGGGTACCAGCTTCAGAGTGGGGCCTTGGTCCAGGGACGACCTGTAGAGCTTGGCCGGCTGTGGACACCCAGCCCCGGAGCCACAGCAGGAGTGGGGGCCGCAGCCAGGTGGCCGCCTGTCCTCAGTGTCCACCTGCAGCCTTACCTGGGCCGGGGTGTCTCTTGAACTGGCCCTGGATGCAGAGTGTTGGGCTGGGATGGGCGGGGCCCGGGTGGGGCGTGTGGTGCCCTGGGCTGGCCTCAGTGTCCTGTGGCTAAACAGGGCCATGGGACCCCTCGCTGGAGCCGGCAAGACCTTGGCTGGCTGGCAGTCCCCTCCCATCCTCAGCTGTGCCCCGGACAGCCTGAGGGTGTCCTCTGGCCTCCTTCGAAGGCTGAGTGTGAGTTCTGGACCTAGACCGAGGGTTCCCCTGCCCTGCTCCGGGCAGTGTCCCTGCGCTGCCTCCCTCCCCGGCCACGGGGTCCGGACGGTTACATGAGAGCTGGAGTGGAGGTGGCTCCCTCAGCATCTGGGGGTCCCTGGGCCCTCTCCCACTCCCAGTGTCTTCCAAGTCCACTCGCGTCGTTAACAAGACCGGTGACGGCGTGATGCAGAGAGCGCGGCCACGGCAGACCCACGTGTGCCGTGGATGCCCAGGTGGGCTCAGCACATTCTGGGGCCCTTGGCCCCGTCTGTCTCGGACGCCCTGGATTTGCTTGTCCCTTTTGCCGTCTTCCTATAAATGGGACCCCGGCACGTGCTCTGTAGCTCGTGACTCCTTCCCTCCATGTCCGTGGTGAGCGCCGCCCTGCGGTCGCGGGAGCCGGGTGGGTCCGCGCTCCACTGGGGACCGAGCCCTTCAGGACGCAGTTCACCCTGGACGTGAGGCCGTGCTTCGGTGACCCGTGTGCCACCTCTGTTGGTCATACCTGGAGTGGCCGGGCCACACTGCTCCAGAGAAGGCCCCCGCGGTGCCGTGTGACCAGCGTCCTGCCCAGGGCGGCGTCCTGGTGACCAGACACCTCGCGTGTTAGTCGTCTGCTGCCCGTTCTGGTGTTTGCGCTTTTCTGCTGGGCGGTGGATTCTCCATACGGATCCGTCGGGTTCTTCACACGTTCTGGGTACGAGTCCTCTGGGGGGACTGCGTGTCGCAAACATCTCTCACCTGCCACCACCTGCTCAGTTGCTTAATGATGCCTTGGTGAGCAGCGGCTCTTAGTTTAGTGAAGTGCAACGTATCGGTTGTCTCCACAAAGAGCAGTAGTAGTCAGTTTTATTCTGAAAGCTTTATTATCTTACCTTTCACGTTGAGATCTACGATTGAAATCCATTAATTTTTAAACAAATACGTATCGATGGCTCACGGCACTGCCCACCTAGGATGGAATCCGTTAGCATGGGCAGATGCTCGGGGACCTCCTCTGCCGGGTCTGATTCCTGACCCCTTGGGCCAGACTGCGGTGGTGCAGCCTCGGCCCCACCTTCCCTCCAGGCCGGGTGCCACTGCCACCTTCCCTGCTGGCCGTGGGTCTCCCCAGCCCCAAGGCATTGGCACATGCCGTCCAGCCCCTCTGCCTCGCTCCTTCCTGGGCCTGTGTGTATCTCCCAGGTGGCCTTCTCTGGGCAGGTGAGCACTGTCCTGAGGGCAGTTTGGCCCTGTGGCCTCCAGATGCAGCCTGAGGGCGCCCTCTCCCTGCAGGTCTCTGAGGAGCCCTGCCAGCCATGGACCCAGACCCCCAGGCCGGCGTGCAGGTGGGCATGCGTGTGGTGCGCGGCGTGGACTGGAAGTGGGGCCAGCAGGACGGCGGCGAGGGCGGCGTGGGCACAGTGGTGGAGCTCGGCCGCCACGGCAGCCCATCGACCCCCGACCGCACGGTTGTCGTGCAGTGGGACCAGGGCACCCGCACCAACTATCGCGCCGGCTACCAAGGCGCACACGACCTGCTGCTCTACGACAACGCCCAGATCGGTGCGCAGCCTTGGGGGCTGGCGAGGGGGTGGGGCCCCGGGGGTGGGGCGGCCCCTTCCCTGACTCGGGCCGCCCCCAGGCGTCCGCCACCCCAACATCATCTGTGACTGCTGCAAGAAGCACGGGCTGCGGGGCATGCGCTGGAAGTGCCGCGTCTGCTTCGACTACGACCTCTGCACGCAGTGCTACATGCACAACAAGCACGACCTCGCCCACGCCTTCGAGCGCTACGAGACAGCCCACTCGCGCCCGTGAGTTCCCCGCTGCCCGCAACAGCGTGCCAGGGCTTGGTCACACCGGGTCCTCCCTGGCTGATCTTCAGGCCTGGTGACAGGTGCCTGGACCCACCCAGGCCTTGGCCTCCCGGGACTGGAGCCGTTTTCTCCCTTTCCCGAGCCATCCAGATGGCCAAGGCCTTGGTCACTTTGGGGCACGGACACCAGCCCCCACCCTGAGGAAGGCAGCATTGTCTACCAGGGAGGTCTGCAGAGCTTGGTGGCAGGATCTCTTCTGTCCTAGCACCACACCGAGAGCCAGGCGTGGCTCCTGGTACAGCGTTAGGCTGGGGCACCGAGGAGGCCTGTGTGTGGCTGCAGCCAGCGTTCCCCATGGAGGCACCAGGCCTGGCAGCGAGGCCTCTGGCAGGACAGCCCAAGCTTGGCACAGCCGGGCAGGTGCCCCTGGCCTGGCTGGGAGGCTGCTTCGCTGTGGGCAGAGGGAATTGGGCTGGGGAGTCTGCTGGGCTGGGCCAGGCACCTGGAGGTGCCATCCCTTGTCCCCTGTGCTGTCACCGTTGTCTCCCTGTCCCTCCCTGCACTGGGAGGGAAGTGTGTGTTCCAGATCCCAGCTGTCTGCAGGAAGTGTGGGAGTGGGCCAGCTGTCTGGGGGCTGCTGGCCACACCTGCCTTCCTCGCTCCTCCCTTCCCTGCTCCTGAGCCCTTCTCCAGGCCAGGCTGTGCCCTGGCTCTCTGAGAGGCAGCAGGCATGAAGTGACTGCCCCCAGAGGCCTTGCTGTGAGGGTGGGAGCCTGGTGTCAGGGAAGTCCCCCGAGGGACATGCCCAGCAGGCTCACTCCAGGCCCCAGTCCAGGGGTACCAATGGCTCACCTGGAGCCTCCCCTGAGTGTGGAGGGTGCTGCTCTGCTGGGACCCCCGTCCTGAAGCTGCTGCATCCCTAGCTCCCACTCACACCTGCTGGGGCTGCAGGATGGGCCTCTCCTCAGGGGCTCAGGACCCGCTCTCTTGCAGTGTGACACTGAGTCCCCGCCAGGGCCTCCCAAGGATCCCGCTGAGGGGCATCTTCCAGGGGGCAAAGGTGGTGCGAGGGCCCGACTGGGAGTGGGGCTCCCAGGATGGTGAGTGGGGGCAGAGGGGACGGGGAGGTGGGGCTGGGCTGTGGCTGGCTACGGCTCAGCCTCGAGGCACAGCCTTAGCCTGCTGGCGGGGACTCTCTCCCCAGGAGGGGAAGGGAAGCCAGGCCGAGTGGTGGACATCCGTGGCTGGGATGTGGAGACAGGCCGGAGTGTGGCCAGTGTCACGTGGGCTGATGGTACCACCAACGTGTACCGTGTGGGCCACAAGGGCAAGGTGGACCTCAAGTGTGTGGGTGAGGCGGCAGGCGGCTTCTACTACAAGGAGCACCTCCCGAGGCTCGGTACGGGGCCATCCTGCTGACACCAGCTGCCCTCCCTCCCTGGCTGGGCAGGGGCTGCCTGTGCAGTCCTGGAGGGGAGGGGCTGCTGCCTGAGGCCGGCCTGCCTTCCCCCAGGTAAGCCGGCAGAGCTGCAGCGCAGGGTGAGTGCTGACGGCCAGCCCTTCCAGCATGGGGACAAGGTCAAGTGTCTGCTGGACACAGACGTCCTGAGGGAGATGCAGGAGGGCCACGGTGGCTGGAACCCCAGGATGGCGGAGGTGAGCCGCCCCGCCTGCCGAGCCCCCGTGCCCTCCCCTCCTGAGTCCTCCAGACCCCAGCCCTCCTCCTTCCCTGGAGTCCAGCCTAACCCAGCCATAGCCTCCGTGACCCGCCACAGTTTATCGGACAGACGGGCACCGTGCACCGCATCACGGACCGCGGGGACGTGCGTGTGCAGTTCAACCATGAGACCCGCTGGACCTTCCACCCTGGGGCTCTCACCAAGGTGCATGGGGGGCCGGGCTGAGCCCCTTCCATTCACTTCTGCAACCTTCCACATACCTACCCAGCACTGGGGAGTGGTCAGGCAGGACTGGGGTGCCAGCCCCCACCCATGAGCCCCCAGCCCTGAAGGAAGGGGAGGCCTGGTGGGTGGAGGTGGGGTCCAGGAGAAGAGGGATCGGGTATGATGAGACCCAGAGAAGGGCACCAGGGCTGGTGGGGCTGTAGTGGGCAGGCCCAAGCCTCCTGTCCTGAGGACTGAGGGGCCAGGACAGCACTGTGGGCAGAGAAGGCAGCGTGGGGGGCAGGTGTGAGCAGCTGTGAGGACAGGGCTCAGGGAGGCAGGGACTGAGTTGTCTGGGAGACACGGTGGTGGGGATGGGGGAGGCGGGGTAGGACTAGTGGGGTGGAGGAGTCAGCTCTGCTCTGCACCTCTGGTCTGGGACACCCCGGCCTTCAAGGAGGGGGTGTGGGGAGTCACAGGATGGGCTTGGGGAGCGAGTTCTCCACAGATGAGGGTGCAGGTGTCGGGGCACAGAGTAGGGGGGAGGAGCCCCACCCCCACACACCCGGCCTTGCTGCCTCCTGCCCCTCCGGGTTCAGGCTCCCCAGGGGTGGGCACCCTGGCCTTTGCACCTCCCCAAAGCTGGCTTGTGTCTGGTCTGGACACGGCCTCCCGGCTGTCTCCATGGCTGTCACCCCATGGCTCTGGGCTGGGCCACCCAGAGCTGCCTTGTCGCCTGCTGCCCTTGTCCAGCCAGACCTGGTTGTGCTGGGGGTGGGGGGCAGGCTGGGACTGCCCGGCCTGTGGAGCTTGGTGGGTCACTCCCGAGTGCCCGTGACCCTGGACAGCCACGTGGGGCCGGGGGGACCCCCTCACGTGCCTTTCTGTTGTTCAGCACAACTCCTTCTGGGTGGGCGACGTGGTCCGGGTCATCGACGACCTGGATGCCGCGAAGCGACTGCAGGCCGGGCACGGCGAGTGGACGGACGACATGGCCCCCGTGAGTGCCCCACCCCTGCCCCGCCCCCACCCGTGGCCTGCTGTGACCCCACCTCTCCCCCTCAGGCCCTGGGCCGCGTTGGGAAAGTGGTCAAAGTGTTTGGAGACGGGAACCTGCGAGTGGCAGTTGGTGGTCAGCAGTGGACCTTCAGCCCCTCCTGCCTGGTAGCCTACCGGCCCGAGGAGGACGCCAACCTGGACGTGGCCGAGCGCGCCAGGGAGAACAAAAGTGGGGCACTAGCCCAGGTGGCCAATGGGAGGTGGGCTTCCCCTGGCCAACACTGACCTCAGCCCTGCCCCCAGGCTCTCTGAGCGTGGCCCTGGACAAGCTGCGGGCCCAGAAGGGTGACCCCGAACACGCAGGGCGGCTAGTGGTGGAGGTGGTGCTGGGCAACGTGGCCCGGGCTCTGGACCTGCTGCAGAGGCACCCGGAACAGGTGTGCTCCCTTCCTGGCCTTCCTCCCCACAAGGGTTGGGGAGAGAGCCGGGGACTCACCTGCTGGCTGTCCTGGCAGGTGGACACCAAGAACCAGGGCAGGACAGCCCTGCAGGTGGCTGCCTACCTGGGCCAGGTGGAGCTGGTGCGGCTGCTGCTGCAGGCAAGGGCCGGAGCGGACCTGCCGGACGAGGAGGGCAACACGGCCCTGCACTATGCGGCCCTGGGGTGAGGCCTGGGAGGACCCGGAGCGGCCGAGCGCCGGGGTCCAGCCACTGGGCATCGTGCCTCCTCCCTCCCGCTCTCTTCCGGCAGGAACCAGCCTGAGGCTGCCCGGGTGCTCTTGAGCGCAGGGTGCGGGGCGGACGCCCTCAACAGCTCCCGCAGCACAGCGCTGCATGTGGCCGTGCAGAGGGGCTTCCTGGAGGTGGTGAGGGTCCTGTGTGAGCGCGGCTGTGACGTCAACCTGCCTGTGAGTGCTGGTCCCCTGTGCCCCAACCCTGACCTGGGGTTAAGGAGGCAGCTTGACCCCAGAGGAAGTCACCGCCAAGTGACCACTGGCTCCCCGCGACAGGACGCCCATGCCGACACGCCCCTGCACTCAGCCATCTCAGCGGGTGCCGGCGCCAGCAGCATCGTTGAGGTCCTCACTGAGGTGCCTGGCATCAGCGTCACTGCCACCAACAGCCAGGGCTTCACGCTGCTGCACCACGCGTCCCTCAAGGGCCATGCGCTGTGAGTGTGGGCACCCAGTTCCTGCCACTGGCCAGGACACCCTGGGGACGGCCCCAGGCCCTAGACCATCTCCCTGCTCCTACAGAGCTGTCCGGAAGATTCTGGCACGAGCACGGCAGCTTGTGGACGCCAAGAAGGAGGATGGCTTCACGGCGCTGCACCTGGCCGCCCTCAACAACCACCGTGAGGTGGCCCAGATCCTCATCAGGGAGGTGCGGGCAGGGTGTGGGGCCTGCCCAGGGACCGGGGAGCTGGGGGCCTGCTGGGGTCCCCAAGCAGAACGTGTGCCCCTCCCCAGGGCCGCTGTGACGTGAACGTGCGCAACAGGAAGCTCCAGTCCCCGCTGCATCTGGCCGTGCAGCAGGCCCACGTGGGACTGGTGCCACTGCTGGTGGATGCCGGTTGCAGTGTCAACGCGGAGGATGAGGAGGGGGACACAGCCCTGCATGTGGCTCTGCAGCGTCATCAGATGCTGCCCCTGGTGGCTGATGGGGCCGGGGGGGACCCAGGGCCCTTGCAGCTGCTGTCCAGGGTGAGGAAGCGGAGCTGGGTGTGGCGAGGGTACCGTGGCGCCTGGCCTCAGGACCTGGCACCAGCAGTGCCGGCCCAGGGAGCCATGCTTTCTGCCGGGGGGTGGCCTGGGAGGCTGGTTTTGAGGAGCCGCCCCCTCGTGACCCCCAGCACCTGCGATTCTGCAGCCGTGGCCTGCCTGGGAAAGGGGGTGAGGAGTGGTGGTTCAGAGCTGGGTGCCTCCCCAACTCTGCTGCCCGGAGTCGGGGCCTCTGGAATGGGCGCCGGCTGCTCCCGCGCCCGCCCTCACCGCCTGCATCCTGCCGCCCAGCTACAGGCCTCGGGCCTCCCGGGCGGCGCGGAGCTGACGGCGGGCGCGGCAGTCGCCTGCTTCCTGGCGCTGGAGGGCGCCGACGTGAGCTACGCCAACCACCGCGGCCGGAGCCCGCTGGACCTGGTGGCCGAGGGCCGCCTGCTCAAGGCCCTGCAGGGCTGTGCCCAGCGCTTCCGGTGAGCTCGCGCGCGGGGCGGGGCGCGGGCTCTGCGGCCGCCGGGCCCTTTCAAGCCGCCGCCTCCAACTGCAGGGAGCGGCAGGCGGGCGGCGGCGCGGCCCCGGGCCCCACGCACGTGCCCGGCACCCCGAACACCGTGACGAACCTGCACGTGGCCGCCGCGGGGCTCGAGGCCGCCGAGTGCCTGGTGTGCTCCGAGCTGGCGCTGCTGGTGCTCTTCGCGCCGTGCCAGCACCGCACGGTGTGCGAGGGTGAGTGCGGGCCCGGGCGGCGCCGGGGGGCACGGCGGCCCTGCCCAACCGCGCTCTCCCCCCGCAGAGTGCGCGCGCAGGATGAAGAAGTGCATCAGGTGCCAGGTGGCCATCAGCAAGAAGCTGCGCCCAGGTGGGTGGGCCGAGTGCCCCGCCCCGCTTCCTGTCTTGGCGGGCTGCTACACCCGCCCCCGGCCCGGTCCTTGTCCCTGGCCCCTGCCCCGTTTGCGCCCAGCCCCGCCCTCGCCCTCTGCTCACGCCCTGCCCCCGGCTCACGCCCGGTCCCGGCTGACACCTGGGCCCGGATCACACTTTGGCCCCATCACACCCGTCCCGGCTCACACCTGGTCCGGGTCGCACCCAGTCCCTCCCTCTCCCCGCAGACGGCTCGGAGGTGGCAAGCGCCGCCCCCGCGCCCGGCCCCCCGCGGCAGCTGGTGGAGGAGCTGCAGAGCCGGTACCGGCAGATGGAGGAGCGCATCACCTGCCCCATCTGCATCGACAGCCACATCCGCCTCGTGTTCCAGTGCGGCCACGGCGCGTGCGCGCCCTGCGGCGCCGCGCTCAGCGCCTGCCCCATCTGCCGCCAGCCCATCCGCGACCGCATCCAGATCTTCGTGTGAGCCCGCGACATCCCCGCCCCCGGCGCGTCCCGGAGCCACGTCCGGGAACTGCCTTCGCAAGCCCCCACCCTGTATTTTATAAAAAGATTCATGGACATTGCCGCCTGCTGCCTGCCTGGGGCTGGGAACTTGGGGTCCTCGGCCCTGCCCCCGCCCCGGCCGTCCTGCCGTGCTGGGCTCACGGGTCCAGGCTCCTGCCGAGACTCGGGCCTCAGGGCCAGAAATATCTCCAGGCGCGGGCCCCGGCCACTCCCCGCGACCCTGGCTCCGGTCCTGCAAGGCCGGGGACCCGCACTGCGCTGTGCCCCCCGACAGCAGGCCGCCCCGCGGGGCCTTCCTGTGTCCCCTCCCTCCTCCCTCCGTCCTGGGGGCGGGCTGCAGGGGCCTGGCCCGGCAGGGAGTGGGGGGAGGACCCTGGCAGGGTCGGGCCGAGGGGACGTGGAGCTGAGGAAGGGCAGGCGCGCGCACGAGTGGAAGGGGGGCCGAGTTGTGGGAGTAAATGTGGAGCCGGGAATAGGGGGCGCTGCCGTCGGCTGAGCGGCTGGAGCCGGGCGCTTTCCAAGAACCACACGCCCTGTCTCCACCACGCCCCTCCCGCCCGCGGCCGCCCGCCAGCTGCTTGGCTCTGACCCCGCCGGCGGCCGCCGCTGTCACTCTGGCCCAAGGCCGGCATGGAGAGCGCGAGGGACCGGACTTGGGCCTGGTCTGGCTCAGAACCCCTCGGCCCCCGCCTCGCAGTCCGCGACCCCGCGGGCCGCCGGCCCCCGGTTCCGCAGCCAGAGGCGCCCTCGCCAGCGCCGCGCCTGGCTCGGCGGCCTCCCCGTCGGGCCTTCCCCGTCTGCGCCCCCGGCCCCGCCCCAGGCAGGACAGTCCCAGCCTCGGTCCGCGCCGGTCCGCGCTCCAGGACCCCTCCCCTGTCTGTCGCCGACTCCGGGATTCCGGGTCCCTACACACCCCCGACACCCCCTCCCGCGCTGCCCCCTGCGGGTCCCATCCGAGCCCAGGCTCGCCCCTTCCCCGCCCTGAGCGGGACCCCGGCAGGTGCCCTCCCTCCTGCACCCAACGCAGCGCCTCTGCGACCCTTGCCCGCCGCACGTGCCCCTCCCCTGCCCCCCTCGGCCGCGCATACTCACTGCCACGTCCCCTTCCCGCCGCGTCCCTCCCCTCTCGCGGGGACACTCGGGCCCGTGCAGGGGGGAGACGGAGGCTCTGCTATTTGGGGTCAAGGCTCTGGGGGGGACTCCGCTTGGGAAAAACGCCACCGCGGCATTGAGCCCCCAGCCGGCCTGGGAACCCACCTGACTGCCCTTCCGCGGCCTGCGCCCCTGGCGCCCGCCCCTCCCTGGCCGCCCGGGGCCCTCTCCGTCCGCCGCTCAAGCGACCCCGCCCAGCGGGCCCTGCCCGGCCCCGGCCGCCGACCCCGGCCCTGCGCCCCGCGCCCCGGCTGGAGGGGGCGGGCTGCTCCCCACGCGGTCGGCGGGCCAGCTGGTTCCCTTCAGGGGCGGCCCCCTCCCCCTCCCGCTGTAACCCGAGCCGCCCGCCGCCGCCTCCCCTCCCGCTCCTCGGCGGCGGCGACCGCGGCGGCGGCTCCTCGACCCGGGTCCCCCGGCCGCGCTGCCCCATGCGGCGCTGAGCCCGGCAGCCAGTCCACTATGGGCCGCGGGGCCTGTGTCCCTTTGGAGACCCCGGGGGGCGGCGTCCAGGGCCGCCGGCTGGGAGCCGTGCTGGGCGCCCTGTGCCTCCTGCCCGCCCTGGTGCTGCTGGCCCGGCTGGGCGCCCCGGCGGTGCGGGCCTGGAGCGCAGCGCAGGTGAGCGGCGGGCGGGAGGCCAGGTGCGCTCTGGGGTCCGTCTGTGGGCCCCCACAGAGGTGTCCGTGGCCCGCGGGGCGGCTGTCTGTGCGTCTGCACGTGAGTCCCCGGGGCGGAGGGTCGGAGCGTCGGTCCGGCGGTTGGGAGAGGTGGGAGGCGGCGCATCTCACGTCCAGCTCCTTGGCCGGGGCCTTGTGTTTAGTAACTCTTCTCTCAGGTAAAAAGGAACACAGGACAGAAAACCAGAGAACACAGAGGCAAAAAGAGGGAACACCGACCCCCTCCCATCCCTGGGCACCCCCTTTCCTTCCAGTGCGAGTTCGCACCGTTTTCTGGGCCTGGGGGCTGCCCCTGCTGCCTCCCCACACACGCCTTCTTCCCTTGAAGGGAGATGTCCCTGCCGCGGGCCCCGCAGGAGTAGCGGCCGCCCAGGTCCCAGGCCCACTGGGCCCCCGCAGACGCCGCTACACGCTGACCCCGGCCAGGCTGCGCTGGGACCACTTCAACCTCACCTACAGGTGCGGCCTGGCCCTGGGGGAGAAGGGCGTGGCCACAGCCTGGCCACTGCGCCTGACCGCGCCCCTTGCCCCAGGGTCCTCTCCTTCCCGCGGAACCTGCTGAGCCCCCGCGAGACCCGGCGGGCCCTGGCAGCCGCCTTCCGCATGTGGAGCGACGTGTCCCCCTTCAGCTTCCGCGAAGTGGCCCCTGAGCAGCCCAGCGACCTGCGGATAGGTGGGCACTTGCCCCCGCCCCCGCCCGGCCGTGCGCGCCCTCGCTCAGCCCCGTGCCCCCGCAGGCTTCTACCCGGCCAACCACACGGACTGCCTGGCCTCGGCGCTGCACCACTGCTTCGACGGCCCCACGGGGGAGCTGGCCCACGCCTTCTTCCCCCCGCACGGCGGCATCCACTTCGACGATAGCGAGTACTGGGTTCTGGGCCCCACGCGCTACAGCTGGAAGAAAGGTGACCTGTCAGCCTGGCTGTCTGGGGCTCCAGGTCTTGGCGCCACTGTGGGCTGCAGCGGGAGGGACTTCCAAGGGGTGGTGGCCGCTGTGGGGTCGAGCAGGCCTGGGTCACGGCAGCCCAGAACTGTCCTCCCTGCCCCCCACGCCGCGGAGAGGGAGCCGCATTCCTGGGGGCCGAGCTCACCGCCGGGCCCTGTGCGTTCTTATCTTCCCGTGGCTGCGGCGAGGGCGGCTCGGCTGCTGAGCTCCAGCAGACGTGCCGGCCTGGGGAGCAGGCCTGCGGGCCGAGGGGCTGGGCCAGGGGCTCGAGGCGCTGACCCGCGCTGACCCGCGGGGCCCGCAGGCGTGTGGCTCACGGACCTGGTGCACGTGGCGGCCCACGAGATCGGCCACGCGCTGGGCCTGATGCACTCGCAGCACGGCCGGGCGCTCATGCACCTCAACGCCACGCTGCGCGGCTGGAAGGCGCTGTCGCAGGACGAGCTGTGGGGGCTGCACCGGCTCTACGGTGAGGCCCTCGGGCAGGCAGGGGGCAGGGGGCAGGGGCGGGGGCGGGGGCGCCCGCACGGCCCTGAGCCAGGCCGCCCTCCCTGCAGGCTGCCTGGACCGGCTGCTCGTGTGCGAGTCCTGGGCACGGAGGGGCCTCTGCGACGCCCGCCGGCGGCTCATGAAGAGGCTCTGCCCCAGCAGCTGCGACTTCTGCTACGGTGCCGCCCGGGGCGGGGCCGGGGCAGGGGCTACTTGGGCCCGGGTCTGGGTTGGGGGGAACGCTGACGTGGCACTCCCCCCCCCCAAGCAGAATTCCCCTTCCCCACGGTGGCCGCCACCCCACCACCCCCCAGGACCAAAACCAAGCTGGTGCCCGAGGGCAGGAACGTCACCTTCCGCTGTGGCCGGAAGATCCTCCACAAGAAAGGCAAAGTGTAGTGAGTGGCCGGGGCCTGGGGGTCCTGGGCTGGGGGCTGCGGGCTGGGCAGTGCTGCAGGATCCCCTCCCCCACAGCTGGTACAAGGACCAGGAGCCCCTGGAGTTCTCCTACCCAGGCTACCTGGCACTGGGCGAGGCACACCTGAGCATCATCGCCAACGCCGTCAACGAGGGCACCTACACGTGTGTGGTGCGCCGGCACCAGCGCGTGCTCACAACCTACTCCTGGCGCGTCCGTGTGAGGAGCTGAGCTCGGAGCCCCGCTGGGCGGCAGGCCCCGCTGATAAAGCACTTTCTCTCTTAAGTCTCTGCGCCCTTTCTTGGGAGGGTGGCGGGCAGCCAGGCTGGACCCATAGCAGGTGGGGAGGTGGCCCCACCCCCTGGATGTGGGGACCCTCGGGGCCAGGCATCCCTCTTGCCCAGTCCCTTGGGCTGAGGATGCAGCCCACAGGTGAGAGGGGCTCTGCCCAGGTGGTGTCTGAGCAGCGGTGGCACCGACAGGCCCACGTGCCAGTGGGGCATTGCTGGGCCAGCCCAGGGTCTGCTCAGAGATGGGTGAGGCAAGGAGGGCTTCCTGAAGGAGGCAACCCGGCTGGCCTGGACGAGTGGGGTAGCTGTGCCTCCAGGCCTTCTGTGAGGGAGTGAGCCGGGCATGGGCCAGCGGGGAGGCCCCGGGCGGGTGCTGAGAAGACCCTCTGCTGTCCGAGGCTAACGTCCCACTCGGCCAGGCGAGGGCTGGGGTCAGAGCCCCAGGGCTGAGCCCTGTCACCCACCCATCCCCCAGAGCACAGGTGGCCTGCGACCCAGCCTGGGGCCAGCCCAGCCTAATGGAGGGACACATCAGAGCTTCCTCCAAGAATATTTCACCACATTTTGAAACTCCTGACACCTTATAAAAACCCCCAGTGGCCAAGGCTGCCAGCACGCCACGTCTGGGGGCCGGGTGAGGGCAGGGAGGCTCAACCCCGTGCAGAAACTGGCCTCCAGCCACAAGAATTAAAAAACAGGCCCCCCCCCACACCCAGATCTGTTCCTCGTCACGTGCAGCCCGCCCTGTGTGTGTTCCTTGCTGGCCAACCAGGTGTATCTGAAACATACAGCTTTTCCCTCCACCAGGAAAATGTGATTTAATTCTACGAATTTACAAACAACGTAATCTAAAAACAAAACGTGGAAAACCAAACAATATGAGGAGTTCCAAGACTTGGGTGTCTCCGGCCGCAGCAGCTGTGTCCACGTCGGGCCAGGCTGGGCCGGGCCGATGCTCCCCGCGGCCTGGGCGCGGCCGGCCAGCCCCGACCTTCAGAACTTGAGGCTGAAGCCGGGGCCGGCGGCCGAGGCGCCCTGGTTGGTGGTGGTGAGGTGGAAGCCCGTCTCCTTCAGGTCGTCGTCACCCTGGACGGGGTTGGGCACCGTGAGGACCCTGACCAGCCAGCCCGACCCCGGGGACCCCCACCAGCCGGGCCTCACCAGCTGGCTGTAGCCCAGGCCTCCTTCCGGGGGCCGCGGGCTGGTGCCCCGCTTCACCCGCTGCTGCTCGCTCTTGGCGGGCCACGTGGGGAACATGGAGGGCTCGATGGGGAGGGGGGTCTCGCGGAAATACTCGTGCTTGAGGCCGTCCTCGGCGTTGATCCTCCTCCCGGGGAAGTAGGTCAGGAACCTGGGGGAACACGGCATCTGGTGCCGGCTGTGGCCAGGCCCGGTGGAGGGCACGCCTGACCCCCAGCCTTCAGGGTCCCCTAAGGGCCAGGTGTGGGGGTGCCAGGGGGCCAGCCCGGGGCTGGGGCTCCAGGGACCGTGACACCCCTGCCCCACCCCTGCCAGGCGGCGCAGAGACTGACTTGTTCATGAGGTCGAAGCCCTGGTCGGAGAGCAGCGCCCCGAAGCGCTTGCGCAGGTTGTTGTAGGGGTACTCGCTGAAGGTCATCTTCTTGACTGCCGGGAGGTCGTTGTAGCCAGGCCAGATTTTCTCACTGGGGGTCCCCAAGTCCTGAAAGACAAGGACGTCAAAAGCAACCACGCCTGCCACAGATCCAACAAATGGCACAAATGCCAACACCTGTATCACGGTCGCACCTCAGCCCCGGCCCCGTTCCTTGAGCAGCGAGCGCCAGGTGGGGCCGAACGCCCACAGAGGGACAGCCACGGCCCCAGCTCACCTTGAACACCTTGTTGATCTGGTCGATGTCCGACTTCCCAGGGAACAGCGGCTTCTGAGTCAGCAGCTCCCCAAAGATGCAGCCCACAGACCACATGTCCACGGCCGTGGAGTATTCCTGAGCGCGGGAGACGCAGCTCAGGAGGGCTGGTTGCGTCGGGCCACCTGTCCTCGTGTGGCCCGAGCGGGGAGGGAGGCGCCCAGACCCCCGACTCACCTTGGCGCCGAGCAGCAGCTCAGGGGCGCGGTACCACAGGGTCACCACGACGGGGGTGTAGGCCTTCAGAGGGGACCCGTACTCCCGTGCCAGCCCGAAGTCACCCACCTGTGAGGACAGAGGGCCGGGCTGTGGGCAGAGCTGGGCTGTGGGCAGAGCCGGGGCGCGGCTGGGCGCGGCGCTCCCCGGCGCTCACCTTGAGGATGCCGGCGTGGCTCAGCAGCAGGTTGGACGTCTTGAGGTCCCGGTGCAGGATCCAGTTGTCGTGCAGATGCTTCACGCCGCGCAGCAGCTGGATCATCAGGGTCTTCACCTCCCCTGCAACAGCGGCGGGGTCACGGGCGTGCCCCAGCCTCTAGAGCGCCCTCGGAGCCCGGATAGGGCCTGGGTCCCAAGAGCCATCTGCAGAGGCTTCAGCCCAGCGCGGCCCTCGTACACGCCAGCGCGTGCGTCACCAGCGTTGCCGCGGGGACACTGCTCCTGCCCTTGCTCCCGCCCCGGGCCGCGGCGTCCGCACCTGGCAGGAAGGGCTGCTTCATGGTCTCCATGAGGCTCTTGAGGTCGTGCTCCACGTAGTTCATCACGATGTAGATCTTGTCCATGTTGCTGCCCACCACGATCTCCTGCGCACCACGCAGGCCTGGGTGCCGGGTACAGGCTCCCGGCCCCACGCCCACCCCTGCCAGGACCCCAGGGGTCGGGGAGGACGCGCGGCCGAGCGCTCACCCTGACGGTGACGATGTTGGGGTGCTGGGCCTTGAGGATGGTGTTGATCTCCCGCAGCGACGTGATGGGGAAGCCCTCCTTCTCCTTCTCCATCTTCAGCCGCTTCAGAGCCACGATCTCGTCTGCAGAGACGTGATGTGGGGTCAGGCGCAGAGAGAACATTCCTGCGCAGACTGGCGAAGAGCTGCCAACGCACCTGTCGTTCCCCAGAGACCTCGCCTCACGGAGAGCACATGTGAGCGCAGGAACGTGGCCCCCAGCAGCTTAAGGCACATCTCCCGGGTCACCTGCACGCCTGCTGCGACCAGGGGACCTCGCGCCTCCACGTCGCAGCACCCCAGCCGCTGACTCCCCCACAGAACCGCCTCAGTGCCGGGGAGTCCAAGGCCCACACAGCTGCTCGGGAGCATCGCTCGACACCGGCACACAGGGATGCGCGCTAAGCGCACAGCGCCAGCCACAACCTTCACACCAGCCCACGTGCACGCCGCCTCACCCTCCCGGCCCTATCTCTCCTGTAGGGGGCGCCGCCACTGTCACGAGTGAATAGCAGAGCTCCAGGGCCTGGTTGACCTCTGGCTTCTGCAGGTGCTGAGGGCTCCAACCTGCACATAGCTGCTCAGGTGAGGCACGACCTGGCGCCGGCCAGATATGGGGCGGTCTGGGACCAAGGTGGGGAGAAAACGGGGGCTCAAAATCCAAGGCAGCTGTGCGGACGTGAATCCGCATTCATCAACCTCACGCCGAAGGTGTGGGCTGCGGGTACAGGCCAGCTCGGGCTCCGACCCCAGCTAGTGGCTCCTTGTCCCTGCCAGGGGCCAGGCGGTCGGCCAGGAACCTCCCCACGAGGGGCTGCCGTGGGACTCACACACTAGGGCTGGACTTGCACCCCTCTGGCCCTGCCATTAGTCTCCGCACCCGTGGGACTGCACTGGGCTCCACCCACCTGTCTTCTTGTCCTTTGCTCTGTACACCACCCCGTAGGTGCCCTCCTCGATCCTGTTCAGGCACTGGAACTCCTCCACGCTCCGGCAGCCCTGCAGGGGAGCCCCAGCGTGAGGGCTCGGCCGCCCGCGGGACACCGCCCCCCCGCGGGACACCGCCCCCCCGCACGGAGCAGATGCGCAGCACGGCCTCCTGTGGACGCCCCTGGAGGGCGCAGGGTGAGGGCAGGTGGTAGGGCCAGGAGCAACTCTGCGCCATGTCAGGGGGAAGCTCCTCCCTCGCGCTGGGTGTGGCCCCTGCCTGTGCTGAGAACGCTGAGGACAGGCCCCGCCCTCTGCAGAGCCCGTGATGCCCCAGCGCCGGTTCCCTCCCCTCCGCGTGGGCCCTGAAGCTGGCACACAGGGCAGGGGTCCCCTGCTGGGCTGCGCTGTTCCGAAGCACTAACGAGGAGGGCGCTAACCAAGCACAGGCCACTCGGCTAGAGAGAACCTTCCAGCCCAGGGTGCCAGGGAGGAGGTCAGGAGTCCCCGGAGCTGCAGGACCCTCTCGGCCGTGCCCTTCCCAACCCTCCTGGCAGCGCCCTTCACTCGCTGGCGCTGTCCCTGCACAAGCCCAAAACGGCACCTGCCCATATCCATGGTCTGCGCTGCCCTCCGGCCCTGTGCAGCGGCAGTGATGAGGCCGCCTTGGTGCCCATCTGACCCCCGTGGACGGCCGCGTGGAGGGACACTGCTCCGCAGAGAACCTGGGAGGGCAGAGCCCCCGCCCCAGGCTGCCGGCCTCCCGCTCCACTGCGCGGCCTGTGGGGCCGCTGCCTCCATCGCTCCCTCCCTGCACAGGGGCCCAGCAGCCCCTCTGCTCTTAGCGACCTGCCCCATCTCGTCCCCAAGCAAGGAGCAGGCCCTGCGGGTGAGGGGAGGACGCGAGGGGCCGGGGCCTGACCTGCAGGGCCGGCAGGTACTTGGGCAGCTCCTGCTTGAGCTCAATGGGCGACAAGGCTGGGGAGTCGGGCACGTAGTCTCCCTCCGTCAGTGCGCTGCTCTGCGGGCTGCCCTCACCCGCCTCCTCCTCCCCTTCTTCGCTTTCCCCGGAATCTCGGTCGAATCGTGACTCTGGAACTTTAAAAGTTGAGCTGAGCATGGAACCAGGACTGGGCATGCGTCACTAACCCCGTCCTGCTCTGGGGCACGGAGCGCGCACACAGCAGCAC